CTGCTGGCCTGGGCCCCATACAGGACTGGTGGTGCCCCCTTATCCACGGCCCTGTATGTATGAATGTGAGTTAGGGACCTTAGATTGTATGCTCCTTGAGGAGGGTTAGGGACTGATGTGAATGTACAATATGTACATACATGTAAAGAGCTGCATAGATTGATGATGCTATATAAAGTACCTGTAATAAATAAAAAAAAATCTTAAAGTAGGCCTAAATTGTAAAGTCTAAATATAGCTTCTCCACCCCACCTACTAAAATGATTCTGAGGGTAAGTGTTTAAGTTGTGTTTGAAAATTGATGACATTTAATAATGCCCGACTTTTTCCTTCCTCTGTAAACCAGTTAGTATTATCACTTACTGTATGATACTATTGCTCTACAAGCCAATTTTAGGATGCAATAAGTGATATTGGAGCCTGATAAAACCAGCCCCATGCCCTTTGTGATAGTTCGTGTTGTCACACACCTAAACTTGTAATGTAAATCGCAATTGCATTAAATGCAAAAATGTGTTAATTGAAATTAGAATACATAATTACAAATTACTAATACAAATAGTAATTTTAGTGCAGTGTTTGGTGGCAGTGAATTTGATTCCATGTCTAAAAGCAAAACGTCTTAATCATTTTAATCTTTACATGATTCATCACTTCATGCGGATTTTTTTTTCACATTTGGAAGTATGAAAAAAATTAATGCCACATACAAGCATAAGATTCAATTAAAATGAATACGGACTTCATAGGAGTGCAAAGAAGTGGTAAGTTATGTTATGTGCATGAATGTAAAAGACTGAAAGACACTGATCTGGTAATATTTTTTTTATATAATTTCTTTTCTGTATTTAACTGTTGTCTTGTGCCAGGATTCTGGCTTGGTATACATATAGGAAGCAAAGGTTCACCCACCTCACTCCCAGGTCGATGGCTGGCTGCCCCGAGTCTTGGACCATGTTTATGGACCGTATTCAAAGTGAACTCTTTTGTAGTTGACTGACCCCCAAAACTAAAGTACTTCACCCTCCCCTCCACAGATACAGTTGTGTTCAAAATAATAGCAGTGTGTTGAAAAAAGTGAATAAAGCTCAAAATCCTTCTAATAGCTTTTATTTCCATACACACAAATGTATTGGGAACACTACACATTCTATTCCAAATCAAAACATGAAGAAAATATATCAAATTTGTGTTGTTCCTCTAAAAAAAATTGAAGAAAAGTGAATATTAGACTGTTCAAAAAAATAGCAGTGTTTGTATTCTTCTTTACAAACTCAAACATTCACTATATAAACTGAGAAATGTTTGAAGATTTTGCTTTCCTTTGAATCACTTCATGAATATTTAGTTGTATAAGCACTGTTTCTGAGAACTGCTGTACATCTGTGTTGCATGGAGTCAACCAACTTCTGGCACCTGTGAACAGGTATTCCAGCCCAGGATGATTGGACTACATTCCACAGTTCTTCTCTATTTCTTGGTTTTGCCTCAGAAACTGCATTTTTGATGTCACCCCACAAGTTTTCTATTGGATTAAGATCCGGGGATTGGGCTGGCCACTCCATAACGTCAATCTTGTTGGTCTGGAACCAAGATGTTGCACGTTTACTGGTGTGTTTGGGGTCGTTGTCTTGTTGGAACACCCATTTCAAGGGCATTTCCTCTTCAGCATAAGGCAGCATGACCTCTTCAAGTATTCTGATGTATTCAAACTGATCCATGATCCCTGGTATGCGATAAATAGGCCCAACACCGTAGTATGAGAAACATCCCCATATCATGATGCTTGCATCACCATGCTTCACTGTCTTCACAGTGTACTGTGGCTTGAATTCAGTGTTTGGGGGTCGTCTGACAAACTGTCTCCGGCCACTAGACCCAAAAAGAACAATCTTACTTTCATCAGTCCACAAAATGTTGCGCCATTTCTCTTTAGGTCAGTCAATGTGCTCTTTGGCAAATTGTAACCTCTTCAGCACATCTTTTTTTCAACAGTGGGACTTTGTAGGGGCTTCTTGCAGATAGCTTGGCTTCACATAGGCGTCTTCTAATTGTAACAAACAAATTAGCTTGCGAGCCACTGAGGTATATTATGAAGGTATAAGTACTAGATCGCTGGTTAATAAGCCCATTCTCTTCTGATGTGCGTTTATAAATAATTTATTTAAATGTTAACCGCGCTCTAATATCCACAAAACGAATGAATCAAAAGTGCTATGTGCTTATAAATAAATAAAATAAGAATTAATGGTGTATCATGATTGAAATTTGTGAAAACAAATGAATATTAAACGTAATTAATTATATAAAATAATGCATATCATATTATTACATCACAAAATGTGCAATCCTTATGACAGTGTGCAAATTTTCCCTCAGTGAAAAACATGTAATTTGATAAATGAAATTAAAAAGTGGATGAGAAGTGATAAATAAAAAAAATATATAAGAAATAATATAAAAAATGAATAAATAATAATCAAAAGGTCTCTGGATAAACGACAATTATATCCCACTGTGCAAAATGAATGTCCAGCTTGGATGGATATACTCTCCTTCTATATGAAGATCTTTGCTGCGGTGTTGAGAACCTGTGTGGCTGCAGGACTGTGAGGGATACTCCCTTCTTTGATCCACTCCTTAGTCCTCTGCCTTTGTATTCCTCGTGTATAACATGTAAGAAAAGGAATAAAAGATATGGTGCCTTACCCTAGGGGTAAAACAGCCTTTTATTGTGCTTCTCTATTGCACTCACATTTTAAAAATATCGAAAGCGCTTTGTATATATATATAAAATCTCCCGCAGCTTGTAGCTGAATCAAACGAGTGGTGTGTGTCAACACACCCTCAGTACTCGCCGTATCGTCGTTAGATTGCGCAATGACGTCACTGCACCTCCCCAACGCGTTGCGCTACAGGGATTTCGTAGCTTCGTCCGGGGATGATGTGTGACTGTTGCCATAGTAAAATTCCTTATATACGGCGCCATTTTGCTGGATACCTACTGGGCGCAGCCATGTTTTTGGGGTCTAATACTGCACCAAAATACATGAATGTTTAGTAATTGATACATACAATGTGTCAGGGCTCCCGGGTGTGACCAGAGGTGTGTGGCTGACGCAGGGAAACACAGACCTCAGATATGTTTATAAACAATATAATTTATTAACACTAACAATACAAACATAAACGCAGTGCAATACTAAAACATAATACAGTGCAACCAAACCAAACCAAACCAACCACCCACAGATAACAGTACATACAAGCAAGCGTCGTCAGGCAGGCCAGGTCAATATCAATAGGGCAGGTAGGTACAGGGGGAGCAAGCGGAGATTGGTCGGGGTCACAGGCCAGGTTCTGCAGGTAGCAAGCAGCGTAGTACAGAGGGTCAGGCAGAGGGATGGTCAGGGTCACAAACCAGGGATCAGAACAGGTAGCAAGCAGCGTGGTACAGAGGGTCAGGCAGAGGGATGGTCAGGAGCGAGCCGGGATCAGAGCAGGAGAAGTCAGCAGCGGTTCAGAAACAGGATGCAGGACAGAAACAGGATACAGGGCCCAGGACAAACACAACACCAAGGCAGAGTCTGTGGGTCTGGCCATCCCTTAAATACCCCAGCATAATCAGTTCCAGGTGTTAGCTGGCTGCAAAGTTGAGTCTCTGATTGCTGGGAGCATCCGCTGGCCAGCCCTGGTACTGCAGATCAAAAGGCAGGTGAGTCCCACCATTGCTGGCCAGTCCATTCCTGACAGTACCCCCCCCCTCAAGGAGCGGCCTCAGGACGCTCCAAACAGTCCTAGCTGGGAAAAATGTTCCACCGCTCGGGTCTGGTAACTGGCGGGATATCAAAGACTGGCACACCGGGCAGGACTCCGGGCAGCGGTACACCGGGCAGAGGCACATCGGGCTGGACTCCAGGCAGAGGCACACCGGGCAGAGGCAAACCGGGCAGAGGCACACCGGGCAGAAGCACATCGGGCTGGACTCCGGGCAGAGGCACACCGGGCAGGACTCCGGGCAGGCACATCGGGGCACACCGGGCAGAGGCACATCGGGCTGGACTCCGGGCAGAGGCACATCGGGCTGGACTCCGGGCAGAGGCACACCGGGCAGAGGCACATCGGGCTGGACTCCGGGCAGAGGCACATCGGGCTGGACTCCGGGCAGAGGCACAGCGGGCTGGACTCCGGGCAGAGGCACAGCGGGCTGGACTCCGGGCAGAGGCACAGCGGGCTGGACTCCGGGCAGAGGCACATCGGGCAGGACTCCGGGCAGAGGCACATCGGGCAGGACTCCGGGCAGAGGCACATCGGGCAGGACTCCGGGCAGAGGCACATCGGGCAGGACTCCGGGCAGAGGCACATCGGGCAGGACTCCGGGCAGAGGCACATCGGGCAGGACTCCGGGCAGAGGCACATCGGGCTACCAGGAGAAGCAGCAGGCAGCGGGCCACCGGGCGGAGCGGCAGGCACCGGGCCCCCGTGCGGAGCGGCAGGCACCGGGCCCCCGGGCGGGGCGGCGGGCCTCGGGCCCCCGGGCGGGGGGGCGACGGGCCTCGGGCCCCCCGGGCGGGGCGACGGGCCTCGGGCCCCCAGGGGCGGAGCGGCGGGCGGGCCGGACCCCCAGGCGGAACTACAGGTCTCGGGCCCTCAGGCGGAGCGGCGGGCGCCGGACCCCCAGATGGAGCGACAGGTCTCGGGCCCTCAGGCGGAGCAACAGGTCTCGGGCCCCCAGACGAAGCGGCGGGCACCGAGTCACCAGGCACGACAGTGGGCACCGAGTCGTCTGGCAAGACTGCGGGCACCGAGTCAACTGGCGGAACAGCGGGCACCGAGTCGTCTGGCAAGACTGCGGGCACCGAGTCGACTGGCGGAACAGCGGGCATCGAGTCAACTGGCGGAACTGCGGGCACCGAGTCGTCTGGCAAGACTGCGGGCACCGAGTCGTCTGGCAAGACTGCGGGCACCGAGTCGTCTGGCAAGACTGCGGGCACCGAGTCGTCTGGCGGAACAGCGGGCATCGAGTCAACTGGCAAGACTGCGGGCACCGAGTCGTCTGGCAAGACTGCGGGCACCGAGTCGTCTGGCAAGACTGCGGGCACCGAGTCGTCTGGCAAGACTGCGGGCACCGAGTCGACTGGCGGAACAGCGGGCATCGAGTCGTCTGGCAAGACTGCGGGCACCGAGTCGTCTGGCAAGACTGCGGGCACCGAGTCGACTGGCGGAACAGCGGGCATCGAGTCAACTGGCAAGACTGCGGGCACCGAGTCGTCTGGCAAGACTGCGGGCACCGAGTCGTCTGGCAAGACTGCGGGCACCGAGTCGTCTGGCAAGACTGCGGGCACCGAGTCGACTGGCGGAACAGCGGGCATCGAGTCGTCTGGCAAGACTGCGGGCACCGAGTCGTCTGGCAAGACTGCGGGCACCGAGTCGTCTGGCAAGACTGCGGGCACCGAGTCGTCTGGCAAGACTGCGGGCACCGAGTCGTCTGGCAAGACTGCGGGCACCGAGTCGTCTGGCAAGATTGCGGGCACCGAGTCGTCTGGCAAGACTGCGGGCACCGAGTCGTCTGGTGGAACAGCGGGCATCGAGTCAACTGGCAAGACTGCGGGCACCAAGTCGTCTGGCAAGACTGCGGGCACCGAGTCGTCTGGCAAGACTGCGGGCACCGAGTCGTCTGGCGGAACAGCGGGCACACGAGTCGTCTGGCACGACAGTGGGCTCCGAGTCAACAGGCACGACAGTGGGCACCGGGTCATCAGGTATGACAGCGGGCTCTGAGTCAATTGGCACAACAGCGGGCACTGGGTCAGGTACCGGATCATCTGGATCAACAGCGGGCATCGAGTCAACTGGCCTAATAGGATCGTCGGGCTGGATCAGTTCATCATGCTGAGTAGCGGCATCAGGCTGAATGCAGGCATCAGGCTGAGTAGAGGCTTCAGGCTGAGTAGAGGCTTCAGGCTGAGTAGAGGCTTCAGGCTGAAGAGAGGCTTCAGGCCGAAGAGAGGCTTCAGGCCGAAGAGAGGCTTCAGGCCGAAGAGAGGCTTCAGGCCGAAGAGAGGCATCCGGCTGAAGAGAGGCATCCGGCTGAGTAGAAGCATCAGGCTGAGTAGAGGCATCAGGCTGAGAGAGAGGCTTCAGGCTGAGTAGAGGCTTCAGGCCGAAGAGAGGCATCAGGCCGAAGAGAGGCATCCGGCCGAAGAGAGGCATCCGGCCGAAGAGAGGCATCCGGCTGAGAGAGGCATCCGGCTGAGTAGAGGCATCCGGCTGAGTAGAGGCATCCGGCTGAGTAGAGGCATCAGGCTGAGTAGAGGCATCAGGCTGAGTAGAGGCATCAGGCTGAGTAGAGGCTTCAGGCTGAGTAGAGGCTTCAGGCTGAGTCACGGAAGGCAGGCTCACCGGTTTGGATACTGGCAGGATGGTATTGGTTGGAAAGAATTTTCGCTTTTTTCTGGTTTTAACTACTGGAGCACTCAAGCAAGTAAACGCAGGTCTGCAAACGAATGGAGCAGCTGGAGACAGAGAAAAACTGGAGGATGGAACAGGAGAGGGAGCAGTTGCTACAGAGGACTTTTTTACAGGGTTAAAGGCAGGATAGGTGCAGCGAGTGGGAACAGGGTACTGACATGCGGTAGATAGCCAAGTATACTGGGCTGTAACTGGAGGAGCTGGTGGGAATACAGGAGTAGAGTTAGAAGCAGGACTGGGTTTTTGTAAGCTGACTGAGGCTGGGTGCAACAAGTCTGTCCATGTCTGCAGTATGGGTTGAACAAAGCTGAGCTTACACAAAGCCTGTCTGACCAAAGACTGCACTGCGTTTATACAATCCCTTAGTGTCTGTGGTGAACATGTGGAATAACGCTCCAGAAAGTAACCCACATCATCCTCTAATAACCACACCAGGGACTCTACCTGGTCTGCACTAAATGGTGGCAAAAATTCATCCCTGCATTCGGGGGAACCAGATGAAACCAACTCAGCACAAACCTCCTCAATCAAAGGCTGCACCTCAGAGAACTCTGTGCCCTGATCTACTAGAACAGTGGTGGCGAACCCGTGGCACGCGTGCCACAGCCGGCACGCCGAGCCTTATCTGTGGGCACGCCAGGAGAATCCAGCGGCGCGCTGTCTTCCCGGCTGTAGTGTGCGTGACAGCCGGGTCCCAAGTGCGCATGCACAAGAAGCAGTGCTCCTTGTGAATGGTAAGGCGGTACCTGGGACACATGACAGATCCCAGAAGCCGCCGGACCAATCACAAAGCGCAGCGCTTCTCGCGCATGCGCACTGGGCATCCGGCTGTCCGACGAGCGCCCACACTACAGAAGCCGGGAAGACAGCGTGCGGCTGGATCGAGGAACAGGTAAGATAAAAAAAAAAAAAACTCTGCGGAAGTAAGAGCGGGTACCTGTCAAATTCAGGTACCCGCTCCCCCTCCCTCCCCAAAGGTCAGCAGTCATCCCTGTGCTGTGTCCCCAGTCTCTGGTCATCCCTGTGCTGTGTCCCCAGTCTCTGGTCATCCCTGTGCTGTGTCCCCAGTCTCTGGTCATCCCTGTGCTGTGTCCCCAGTCTCTGGTCATCCCTGTGCTGTGTCCCCAGTCTCTGGTCATCCCTGTGCTGTGTCCCCAGTCTCTGGTCATCCCTGTGCTGTGTCCCCAGTCTCTGGTCATCCCTGTGCTGTGTCCCCAGTCTCTGGTCATCCCTGTGCTGTGTCCCCAGTCTCTGGTCATCCCTGTGCTGTGTCCCCAGTCTCTGGTCATCCCTGTGCTGTGTCCCCAGTCTCTGGTCATCCCTGTGCTGTGTCCCCAGTCTCTGGTCATCCCTGTGCTGTGTCCCCAGTCTCTGGTCATCCCTGTGCTGTGTCCCCAGTCTCTGGTCATCCCTGTGCTGTGTCCCCAGTCTCTGGTCATCTCCTGTGCTGTGTCCCCAGTCTCTGGTCATCCCTGTGCTGTGTCCGCAGTCTCTGGTCATCCCTGTACTGTGTCCGCGCAGTCTCTGGTCATCCCTGTACTGTGTCCGCAGTCTCTGGTCATCCCTGTACTGTGTCCGCAGTCTCTGGTCATCCCTGTACTGTGTCCGCAGTCTCTGGTCATCTCCTGTACTGTGTCCGCAGTCTCTGGTCATCTCCTGTACTGTGTCCGCAGTCTCTGGTCATCCCTGTACTGTGTCCGCAGTCTCTGGTCATCCCTGTACTGTGTCCGCAGTCTCTGGTCATCCCTGTACTGTGTCCGCAGTCTCTCTCTGGTCATCCCTGTACTGTGTCCGCAGTCTCTGGTCATCCCTGTACTGTGTCCGCAGTCTCTGTTCATCCCTGTACTGTGTCCGCAGTCTCTGGTCATCCCTGTACTGTGTCCGCAGTCTCTGGTCATCCCTGTACTGTGTCCGCAGTCTCTGGTCATCCCTGTACTGTGTCCGCAGTCTCTGGTCATCCCTGTACTGTTAATTAGTTTGCACTACTGTACGAGTTGTTTTTTCTAAACCAAAAGCTCGATATTCAGGTTTTATTGCAGTGTTGGCACTTTGAAAGAAATAAGTTGGTTTTGGGTTGCAGTTTGGGCACTCGGGCTCAAAAAGGTTCGCCATCACTGTACTAGAACATGAGCGAGCCGTATACATTCTAGCAGTTGATCCCTGGGATACTCCTTCAGAGTTTGATAAGCATACTCCCTGTCATCAAACACTAGCAGATATAAATACACAACCTCATCCAGATCCATCCTTCCCAGCAACAAGCCAAGATGGCTTCCCTGTGCAGCCACTTCTGGTCAGGATTGGCCTTGGTGTAATGTCAGGGCTCCCAGGTGTGACCAGAGGTGTGTGGCTGACGCAGGGAAACGCAGACCTCAGATATGTTATAAACAATGTAATTTATTAACACTAACAATACAAACATAAACGCAGTGCAATACTAAAACATAATACAGTGCAACCAAACCAAACCAAACCAACCACCCACAGATAACAGTACATACAAGCAAGCGTCGTCAGGCAGGCCTGGTCAATATCAATAGGGCAGGTAGGTACAGGGGGGGGAGCAAGCGGAGATTGGTCGGGATCACAGGCCAGGTTCAGCAGGTAGCAAGCAGCGTAGTACAGAGGGTCAGGCAGAGGGATGGTCAGGGTCACAAGCCAGGGATCAGAACAGGTAGCAAGCAGCGTGGTACAGAGGGTCAGGCAGGGATGGTCAGGAGCGAGCCGGGATCAGAGCAGGAGAAGTCAGCAGCGGTTCAGAAACAGGATGCAGGACAGAAACAGGATACAGGGCCCAGGACAAACACAACACCAAGGCAGAGTCTGTGGGTCTGGCCATCCCTTAAATACCCCAGCATAATCAGTTCCAGGTGTTAGCTGGCTGCAAAGTTGAGTCTCTGATTGCTGGGAGCATCCGCTGGCCAGCCCTGGTACTGCAGATCAAAAGGCAGGTGAGTCCCACCATTGCTGGCCAGTCCATTCCTGACACAATGACTATCGCTACTAACTACGGCTCATACTGATGCTGTGTGTGTGACCCACCCGATTGATGTTACAGAACATTCAGATACATTTTACTTACAATGTTTCAAAAAATGATTTATAGATATACCATTACTCATAATGATTTATATATCCACCTCTAAGACAATAAAAATAAAGAATATAATAATAAATATAAATAAATTGCTAATGAAAAAAAATGATGAAAAATTTGATATAAAGAGATTAAATAATTAATATGTAAATGAATGTAAGCCACCTTGGGCAAATAGTTAATAATCATTCAAGAAACATGATAAATCAAATTCCTTATTCAACCCGAGGGGCTAGGCTATTCATCTCTTAGATCCAGTACGATTCTTTCTTACTGACCTCTCTAATTGTATTATCACCTCTCCAGTGTAGACCTTCTTTGATCTTCCTGGAGCTGATTGTTGGCTGAGTCCTTGCCATTTTGGCTATTCTTCTATCCATTTGAATGGTAGTTTTTCGCTTTCTTCCACGTCTTTCAGGTTTTGGTTGCCATTTTAAAGCATTTGCGATCATTTTAGCTGAGCAGCCTATCATTTCTACACTTCTTTATATGTTTTCGCCTCTCCAATCAACCTTTTAATCAAGGTACGCTGTTCTTCTGAACAATGTCTGGAACGACCCATTTTCCTCAGAATTTCAGAGAGAAATGCAATGTAACCAGCATGTACAACATTTGCTGCCTTCCTTCCTTAAATAAGGGCAATAATTGCCACCTGTTTTTCAAAGAATGAATGACCTCACTAATAGAACTCCACACTGCTATTATTTTGAACATGCCCCTTTCAATTAGTGATTCAATTACACAGAATCAGCAGCATGCATGTCATGACTGTTGGGTCTGTTGGATTTCTATTACTCTACTACACCTGCTAGTAAATTATTTGCCATGTAGAAATATCATTTCTACCGAAAACAGTGATTGATCCGGTTAGTGATGTCTGACTGCTATTATTTTAAACACAACTGTATATACTTGCCTCCGTCCTTGACTCTGCAATTACACTCTTTGGTAAATCTAGGGCTCCCTATGCCAGCCTTTTTCAACTGGGGTGCCTTGAGGTTTCTTCAGGGGTGCCTTGGCAAAATGAATAAAAATTGCCCAAAACTTATATACAAGCCAGCGGGTGGAACAAGCCTGCTTTTTAGTTACATAAAGGCACAGGTTATCATTGTGTGCCTTTATGACCTTCTAGGTACTGGCGTCCTGACAACCAATGACATCATTAGTTGATAAGAAGGATGTACATTGCCTGCACAGCATGCTTATTTAACCCTCCTATGCCCCCTCCATCAGTGCTGGGGTCATACTAGCTCAGTGATGGAGAAAACTAAGGGAGAAGAGAAACAATGGAAAACTGGTCAGTACCAGTGTGCAAACGTGTATTTGCTGTGGAAGAATAAATCAACTCTAACGTTGGGTGTCCTATGTGTGTGGATGTTTCTGTGTTATATAAAACTATTAGAATCGTTTTTTACATTTTAGAATG